AAGGAATGCTTTGACTGGTGGTGTCCAATTTTGCTTCTAGAATGCACTTCTAGGGGATCTGGTAAGTATTTTCGTTCAGTTGTTTAGAGTTCTTAACTGAGCTCAGGTGCTCACACTATCAGTCAGGCTTCAAAGCTCATGAGCCTTCGCTCCACCTCCCCTCCCATCCTTGAATTAGGTAGAGATAGAAGCTGCCCTAGAAAGTAATTAGAAATCTTTTCTGTTTTTTATGAGAACCATAGGTCAGCACCCCAAAGTTCTGCTCCATACGATAAAATGGACTCTACCTTAGATCTATAGACGTTTAGGGCATTTATACACATGCTGGAGGGGTACTTTAATTAGAGTAGCTCTGAGAGATGGTCTAATTAAAGTGACTGGAGCATCTTGTGCATCAGTGTCTCTGCGCTTAAAAATGGCAGTGGGGGCACTCATTCAACAAGCTTTAGTTAAAGTGCCCTGCTGCCATTTTTAAGCATGGGGACACTGATACACGAGAAATGGGAGGCTGCTGGAGTGCAGTAATTACTCGATTAATTGATTCTGCTCCGATGCGCTGTAATTACAGCATGTCGGAGCAGCCTCCCTGCTCATGTATAAGCACCCTGAGTGCTGCCAGAAGTGCTCTTCATCCTGTCTTATTGTAAAAGGATAAAACTCCACCTAAGGCTTGTTTTGCTCCACTGTTTATATTTTCAGTGTACTGATTCCAGTTCAGGTTTTTGATAAAATAGATTCCAAGTTATTAAAGATACTAACGAAATTATTTTATTCATAACGTGGCATATAGTTTTTTCCATGACCACAGCTCTTGTTAGCAGTAGTGGGAATTATTGTATCCTTTCAGTACAATTCATATGGTTCTTGGTTACACAGTTTTTTCCACATTTGTGTAAGTATTTCCCAATAAGAAAGTGTAGGCTTAGTATAATAATTCAAACCTTTAGGAGTAATGTATTATGCTTCTTTTAAACCAGTAGTTTGAGGACTGAACTCAGCTAGAATATACTAGTGTCTATTAATACAGCAGAGAGGTACACTAGAGACTATTGTCTTAAAACTTCTGACTTTTTTTCTGCCATAGATATTTAAGACATTTAAGTATCTTACTGCTTCAGGTATGTAGGCCATATCTAGTTAGAAATTAAATTAAATGTTCTGTATTTCAGTTGGTCTTGATGTCTCAGGTGCCTGGAAATTAGATAGAAAGCCATTCACCTCAAATTCACCATTTCAGATTTCCCATGGCACTAGTAACTAAAACATATTGCCACAAACTGGGTGATTTCAGTCCAGCTTCACGTTACAAAAACATTAGTGCATTGACCAAGGGCTGTAGTGGATATAAAACCAGTTGCTTTCTCATTTTAAGGTGAGGTCCTCCTATTTGGGGAAGTTCAGACTCAAGGCACCCCTTCTCAGACTCAAGGCAGCTCTCCATAACTTTTGTTAACTGAGTAGCACCCTGTTTAAAAAACTAATTATTTTTATTACGGGGCTCACCTTCTTGCAGAGGGGGCAAGCAGTGTGGGTAGGGTAGTAGCACAGAAATAAATATAAATGCCATTTGTCTTGAAGTGTTTTAGGCTGTGAGGAGCTACACTGTTTCTTCATGTGAAAAACTTGGTTACTGCATTTTGTTCCTGCATTTCCATATCATCTCATTCTTTTCTACAGCCTAATCCTCCTTTCATAGTCCTCTTTCTTTAAATTTGAAGGTTATTTCTAGTCTTACCTAAACACTGAATCAACACATCTGCCCTTTTACTTATATCCATAATGAGTAGGCCCTGCATTGTTTTCTTTTTTTCATATTTGTACATGTATTTTATTGAAGTGTGATTTTTTTTTTTTCAAGATTAGGCCATAAATTCAATAGTTCAGAAAAAAAATCCGCAATAGAGGATGTTAAAAAAAGTGGCAAGTTTAGGGGCTGTAAAGCCATGGAAGGAGGAATAACTTATTAACATTCAAAGGAAAGGATGTACAGGAACAGCTGCAGTATATCTTGGAAAGATGACTAGTATCTATCAAGATGCTATTTTGGGTTAAATTCCTAAAACCCCTTGTCAGCGATAGGGTGGAGGGCCTCCTCCTGGGAGCCATGTATAACTTATAGCCATATAAGTTATACAGAAAGATACCCCCAAATCATCAAGACATACTAAGCAAGCATAACATGGCAGGGTTTAGGGACATGAGACTCATACTTTAAATGAGGCAAAGTTTTTTAGAGCTGATCAATCTTTGCTCTTCAGGCTGCTATCGCTCTTCAGGGGACTGAGGAATGGCCTCTGTCCCCTTTTTTACAAGGGGCAACCTATGCAAGGGCTCCTGTCCAATGACTTCTCCCGAGTATAGATCTATTAGCCTCTTGAGCACTCTGCCTTCAGGGCTGCCTTCCACATCAGTGTATTTAAGACTTGCAGAGAGCCCTTCTCTCTGATTCATAAGGGGCACACAGATCACATGCTTCTCTTTCTTAACCATTTCGAGGTTATGACACAGTACTCTGTATTGAAATAACCCTTGCAGATGAATTGATTTGATATGTAGTCAGTTTTACAAGTTTTGTGGAGAATGTAGATATCTAAACATCTTTTGAACTTGGTACCAGTATCATTCCAGCAATATGAGAACTTAAGACAGCCTCAAGCACACAGTATGAATTCCCAGGATTGTTATTGCATCACCAACTTATATTAGTATTTGCAACATCTGCATGAAGACATTTTGGACGGTGTTCAGTGGTTACGACATTAGTTGTTGGGTTAATGATGATCATAAATCTTACTTCTGTCATAGGGTCAACATTAAAATCTTCTCCAGTGCTCCTAGGTAAAAGTTTCTTATCTTTCTTTTTGTCTATACCTGCTGTCAGTGACTGTTTCTTTATGTAATCCTCAACCACTTTAAGAATTGTAATTTAATATAATGTGATGTAGATTACAAGTAATTCAACCTAGTAATTAAACTTTGTCTAAAAGCTATTTGATCTTATTTTTTCATTTTCCTTAATTTTCTTGTAAAGTTCTAATTATTTCTGTAAGGACCCTGTGTGCTGATCATCTACATCACTTACAAGGATTAAGATTTTTTTTCTGCCGTTTCTGGAAATTTTTTGATTAAAACTGTTTCTTCTTTGTAGTGGCACTGTGGTCACATTATTCACAGCCCTTTTGTTAGAGATTTCTCAAGTACAAAATGACTCTCCTTCTTTCCTTCCTTTTAGGTAAGCATTTATTGCTGTTGTGAAGTTTTCTTTGCGCATGATCAAAGAAAGATAAATTCAACACTGGTTTGTTATGTCCTATCTATCCTATAAATAGAAAAATGAAGGGTCTGTTATAAATTTACAAAATAATAGTATCCCAACTTTCCTCTGGTTAGAATCATAGAAAGTTAGGGTTTGAAGGGACCTCAGGAAGTCATCTACTCCAACCCCCTGCTCAAAGCAGGACCATCCCCAAATAGATCATTCCAGCCAAAGCTTTGTCTAGCCAAGTTTGAAAACCTCCAAGGATAGAGCTTCCACCACCTCTCTGAGTAACCTGTTCCAGTGTTTTACTACCCTCCTAGTGAGAAAATTCTTCCTAATATCTAACCTAAACTTCGCTTGCTGCAACTTGAGACCATTGCTCCTTGTCCTGTCATCTGCCACCACTGAGAACAGTTTAGCTCTATCCTCCTTCAAATCCTCCTTCAGGTAGTTGAAGGCTGCTAGTAAATCCCCTGTCTTCTCTTCTCTAGACTAAATAAGGCCAGTTCCCTCAGCTCCCTCACCATTTTCCTCCTAAATCATGTCCTCCAGCCCCCTCACCATTTGTGTTGTCCCCCACTGGACTTGCTCCAGTTTGTCCACATCCTTTCTGTAGTGGGGTGCCCAAAACTGAACACAGCCTTGAGTTAGGTGACAGCTTCCTGTATTCCTGAATCATGTATCCAGCACAGCCTTTAGCAGGTTGAAATATAGTTAAAAATATTAGGTGCCATATATGTTACAAGATCAGATTATGTACTAAGCAGGCCCCCTGACATGGTCTTTTTTTTTTGTAGGCTAGACAGGATATTCAGTTTGGAAGCTGTGGCAGTCTGAAACCTACCATGATTTTAGTTGCCCTGATCTTTCATTTCGTAGGGTCAGTTAGTACACACTTTTGCTGTTCTGTTTTTTTAACATTTGTAGCTTGAGTTTGATTTTCCAAACTCTTCATGTTGTTTCTCTAATTTGCCCAAGTTGGCTGCTAATATTGGCTTCCTCAGTATTAGGTTGTGTGTCATTCACCCTTTTAATGGAAACTTTTCCTTTCTTCTAAAGGCTTTACTATTCAAAAGCTCTTCTATTTGACCTTTAACTGAAGGCATGCCTCTAAACTGTATCTGTGCTTCCTCAATATATTAAGGTAAATGCAGTATAGTTAATACATATATCTTTTAGGCCATATTTGCCACAACCAGTGTGTCCTCAGGTCTTACTGTTCTCCAGCTAGTATTAAGCTAGTATTTTTTTCATCTGTGGCCAGTTCACCCCTGGGTTATTTATGTAGCACTTCCAGATGATCCCTGGAGTGTTTTACTGATGAATCATGTATCAGTTGGTGATATGTGATGTTGGTTACAGCCCAGTTCAAGATGCATTTGACCTTGGCTTTCTGACTAGCTACAACCAACCTCTCAAATCAAGTACATCTCTGCATCCCTCATGGCTGCTTTGTGATTTTTTTGTTGTGTGTTTTTCTTGAGAGGAAATTTATTTGTGAACAGATATATGAAAGACATAAGTAGAGCAGTTGCAAACACACAAAAGGACAGAATCAAACTGCTAAATGACCTGGAAAGATTAGCACTATGACAGCTGCAGGCAACAAAGGGATATTCAGTAGTAATACATATAAAGTCCTTGCACAAGGAGAAGAAATTAACAGTATAAATGCAAATTGAGTAGATCTAACTGCACCAGGCAATAACATCATACACATTGCAGTTTTATTTTAAAAAGCTATCTGTGAAAACAGCAGTTGATGCTTCCATATTCATAGTCAGTGATTTCCATTCTAGATATGGTCAGCTTACAAGTAAAACATTGTTTTTCTAACTGCAAACTCAGCCTGGGGTCAAACTTAGTTCTTTTCCTTTTTTGCAGCATTAGTAATAATTGAAGTGGTTTGAAATATTGTGTTTGAAACATTTTTTTTAAGGAAGCAACTTTTTTTTATCAAAAGGGAAACTTCTGCCAGAAATGTTTGTAGTCAATAAAATTTTGGGGGTTTTCATTAGAAAATGGAAACGTTTCTGGGGTCCAAGTTTTCATTTTTTAGTGAAATTCTAGAATAATTTGTTTGATGAAAAATATTGATAAAAACATTTTGTTTTCATGTGTACAAAAGTATTTCCTGAGCAGCGTTTGTTAATTGAGATGTTGCAGGGCGAATTATGTCCATGGTAACATCTTTGCACTTTACTGCCCTGGAGAGATTTGGCCAAGATGAACAAAGCGGAACCATCCCCTTTGCTCACTCCTAGCTATGTACTCTCCAGAGGCAACAGGAATAAAAAACGGAAGGTGGACATTACTGGCACAGGCCCCAATCCTGAAAGCATCTGTGCAGATGCTGAACTTCAAGCTGGCGAATAGTAGGTCTAATCATCTTCTTAAAAAGAAGTATGTAGGTATTTGTAAGTTTGGAGCCCAAGTGTCTTTTTGTGCTCTGGGCTTATCTGAATGAAATAAGTATCAGTAAATAATTTTAACTGTTATTAAATTATCTCACTGTAAACAATCTAATCCTGTCATCCTTTGCTGTATAGAACTCTTGTTGATATCAAGGGGACTCTTACTCAGGTAAAAGCTGCAAGGCTGATCCTTATTTATTTATTGAATTTATATGCTGCCTTTCTCAACAAAATCCCAGAGCTGTTATGTAATAATCTATATTTTTAACACGTGTAAGAGGCACTCTAAAAATATTTTGCATTTATCTCCCCCTCCTGCTTTTTTGTTTTTATATCCTCAAATTATTTCAAATGAAAAAGCTTTTCCTGAGACTTGCTGTTGCATCTAATGTAAGGCATAATATTACTTTTTAAATAAATTTATTTTGTGCTTTTAAATGATTTTTTGGTCATGAGTTGTATCACAGACCTCCATATGGTGCAATCAATAGCTCTTTTGATTGATGGAAAATTAGCAAGGTCATAAAATGTAATGGTTAGTTTGGTATTGCAGCTGTGTGTCTGAAGGAAACTAATGCTTGTTTTTTTTTAAATGGTGGTTATAAACTATTGCTGAGATATATAAAAGTTAATGATTATGAAATAAGCATTTTTGTTCCATATACTATTAAAGTGTTATTTGGGTCTGATTTTGCATTCAAGTCAGTGAGGCACCATGAGAGACAGCAGTCTGTGTAGAAAGAATCGCAGGGAAAAGGCCTTGTCTTGTAGGTTATTTTTCTGTCACTTGGTCTGTTTCTGCTTCCATTGAAACTAATGATAAAGCAGTCATTGACTTCAGCAGAAATAGGACTAGCCTCACCGACTGAGATTGTGTAGCCTGGATTCTTTATGTGCTTGATATATTTTTGCTTGAAAAATCATCTAAATAAGGAATTAATAAATAACAAAGTTGCCTAAAATTATATGTATTTTATTTTCACATATTTATTTCACGAAGATGTTCCACAGGACTTTTTACAGCTGACTACAGTCCAGACGTATCTAGTGCTAAAAAGATTAAGGGCAGTGGGCCAGATTGGATATGAATCTGAAGCCAGAATTTGCCCTACTTCTATTTTTATCATTGCAGTTAAAGCTTGGTTCCAGTCTGTTTTTTTTTTTATTATTATTCCTTCTGAAGTGTAGCACCTTGCATTTGTTATCATGGTTCATTTGTGAAGAGGAGC